CACAGTCGACGGAGGTCACGGGCTGACAGGTGGCCCGCGCGAGGGTGCCTCTGCTCCAGTGCCTCCCTCCATCTGTTCCAGGGTCGTGGCACCGACCACGCCACGTCTCGTAAATTTAATGATGATACAATTGGTGCGAATTGCGTGTTGTTGTCTCTGCCCTGCTGCTGCTACCCCTTCCCCTTCCCCCTCCCCCTCTCCCTCTCCCCACCCCACCTCCTCGCTCATGTTTATTATGGGAGTTTTGTTTTGTTTTGTTTTTGTTTTTTTTTGCTCGTTCTCTGTCTGTCTCCGGTTTTTTTCTCTGTGTGTCTCTTTGTCTGTCTGTCTATCTGCCTGTGTGCCTTTAGTCTCTCTCTCTCTCTCCCTCCCTCCCCCCTTCCTACCCCTTCCCTACCTCCTTCCCTCCTCCTTCTTCCCTCTCCTTCCTTCCCTCCTCCTTCCTTCCCTCCTCCTTCCTTCCCTCCCTCCTTCCTCCTCCCTCCTTCCCCTCCTCCTTCCCTCCTTCCTTCCCCCTTCCTTCCTTCCTCCTTCCCTTCCTCCTCCCTCCCTTCCTCCTTCCTCCCTTCTTCCCTCCCTTCCTCCCTCCCACTCCTTCCTCACCCTCCATAACTCACTCACCCAACGACCCTTTTTCCTTTCTTTCATATCATGATTTATCTGCCTGTCTCGTCCGTACAAACATGTACATACACCTACAGACACGCAGCCTCTCCACCCACACACACACACACACAGTCACATCCACACAACGTAGACACACATGTACGCGCGCAAATTACTCGTTGAGATTTTGATAGGAATTAATCCTGATCATTGGCGGAGAAGATGAATTAGCGGTGTTTGGACAAGGCAGGAGGGAGGGAGGGGCAGCCGGGGAGACAGCGGGAGGGAGGAGGAGGAGGGGAAGGGGAAGAAGGAGGAGGGGAAGGGGGGAGGGGAAGGGAAGGGGGAGGAGGAGGAGGAGGGAAGGAGGGAGGAGGAGGAGGGGAAGGGGAAGGAGGAGGGAGAGGGGAAGGAGAGGGAGAAGTTGGAGTTGGAGTTGAGTTGGAGTTGGAGTTGGAGTTGGAGTTGGAGTTGGAGTTGGAGTTGGAGTTGGAGTTGGAGTTGGAGAAGAAGAAGAAGAGAAGAAGGAGAAGAGAAGAAGAAGAAGAAGAAGAAGAAGAAGAAGAAGAAGAAGAAGAAGAAGAAAAAAGAAAAAAGAAGAAGAAAGAAATAGATGGTTAGAGACAGACACTCAGACAGAGAACCGGGCAGGAGAGGAGAGAGAGAATCCGAGAGCCATAGGTCGGCGCGAGAAGGAGGAAGGAGGGAGATAGGGAGGGAGGGAGGGAGATAGGGAGGAGGGAAGGAGAGGAGGACAGTGAAAGGGAGGGCGAGAGGGACGTGACTCATACCTGCCTTGGAGGTCGTGTGGTGGTCTCGGCGGTCGAGATAAGCGGCATTGTGTGTCTGTGTGCGCATATATATGTGTATATTATATATATATATATATATATATATATATATATATATATATATATATATATATATATATATATATGTATGTATTATATGTAGGTATATTATATTTATAGCTAAGGCGACCACTATATATTTGTGTGTGTGCGTGTAGTATTATATATCTAGAGAGAGAGACAGACAGACAGACAGAGAACGAGCTAGCCTCGGTGTCTTCGTTAGACAGACAGATAGACAGACAGACTGCGCCAGACGGAGAGCCAACAAGACGCGAGACAGTCACGGCGCTCGGACGGCGGGAGAAGCGGCCTCCCCGGACGCGTCGGGGAATGCGTGAATGTGCTGCATTGAGGCATTCAGGGCCCGTGAGTCACCGCTTCCTGCGAAGGGTCTCAGCACGGGCCGGGAGGCGATACGGGAGGGGCGGATACTGAGAGAGAGAGAGAGAGAGAGAGAGAGAGAGAGAGAGAGAGAGAAGAGAGAGAGAGAGAGAGAGAGAGAGAGAGAGAGAGAGAGAGAGAGAAGAGAGAGAGAGAGGAGAGAGGGGGGGGGAGTAATTAAGAGGCGACGGACAGGTGCGGGTCGAGAGGAGGGCGAGGGAACGAAGAGGGGAAGAGAGGGAGAAGGGAAGAGAAGGAGAAGGGAAGGGGAAGGACGTGAAGAGGGAGGAGGGAGAGATGAGAGGACGAGCGAACGAAGGAGAGTTGTGCGATGCTAATGAAAGGAGCGAGAGAGAAGGGAGATGGCGGAAAAAAGAATAAGTGTGCGATGAGGGGAGAGAAGGGAGAGGGGAGGAGAGGAGCGCGCGGGGAGAGAGGGCGACCAAGGCTGTCTACCTCTCACGGGAGAAGCGCCGCGTGTGTCTTGCCGGGGAGAGTGCATGACTGGCCCGTTTTGCAGTGGTTTGCGGAGACGCGCGAAGGCCCCGTCATGGCGGAGGTGACAGCGCCGCCTCGCCCCGCGCCCCCCGCCACCTGCTCCGCCTTTGACCTAGCCGTGACCTTGTCCCGGGCTCAGCTGTTGCTTGTGGTCGGATGAGCAGGGGAGGGGAGGAGAAGGGAGAGGAAGGGGAAGTTTCTCTTGCCCATCCCCTTCCCTCCCTCCCTCCTGCCCTATCCTTTTGCACTGCATCTCCTCCCCCCCCTCCCCCTCCCCTCCCCCTCCCCGCCCCTCTGATGCCTGGTGTGCCTGACAGCGATACAGCTGCATGATAGTTTATTTTAGTTAAGGCTGTCGCTCTCGCGCGCACCTCGCCACGGCCCGTGCCAAAAAGTACCTCCCCCGCCCCCGCACTCACCGCCGAGGCTTTGCGTATTTCGGCGTTGGTTTTCGCGCCTCTTCCCGATTTCGCGGAGCCTCTCGCGCCCCCCCCCCCCTCGCCACCTGCGCGCGTAGCTCTTTCGCGAACGGGTTGCGGGGCGAGCAAGGCCTCCCGCGGGGCTCCCGAGGGGCGGCGGGGGGCGGGCTGGCTCCTCCCGTGCGTCAGGGGACACTTACGCACCGCCAGAATAAGCGCCGCAAATCAGGCCGAGCGCGGGCAAGGAGATCGCTAATTTATCGAGCGCTATTAATACGCGGAAGGTCCGTCGTTCTCCTCTTTTTATCCGCTATATTTAGCAAGACGGAATTAAGAGCCGGAGTGGATGTTGGGAAGGAAGACGAGAGAGGGGAACGGGAGAGACTAAGAAGATGAGATATAAGAGGGGAGAATTAATAAGGAATTCGAGGGGAAGAGGAAAGGAGCTGTAGAGGGAAGCAAGGAGAGGCAGAGAACGGTGGATGCGAGACCAGGAACTCGGAACAGACTGCGTAAGGGGAAGGGAGCGGGAATAAAGGACGGGAGGACAGCGGGGCGAGGGGAACCGAGGGGAACGGGGAACAGAGCCGGAGGAAACACGGCCCGCGAGGGACGGAGGGACCCGGGGGAGGGGAGAGGAGCTGAGTAATGGCGAGGGGAGAGGCGATAGGGCGAGGGCAGCGGGGAAGTGAGAAATGAGATTGGAAAGTGAGGGGACTTTGAGATATCGGGTTGGGAAGGGTAACTGTCCGTGCGAGTGTGCAGAAGGGTTAATACTCGTTGTCTTTACGTTACTGAGGTGTTTCTCGTGGTGATCGGTGTGCGAGGGTCCGTTCCTTCCCTGGGCGATGAGCGGGTTTCTGTGGGAGTGCGGAAGGGTGTGCAGTGACCCGTGCGAGACCCTTTTATGCACTGTTCGGAGCTGCAATTTTGAACAACATCGGTTACAAATCCTCTAATCACGGCCAGACTTATTGTGGGCAAGTTGGTCTCGCGTAACAAGTGTTCCAGTTGTTATAAAAGAGGGTTGTAAGGCGGGCGTCAGATCCCCTCTGCCGTCGAGGCGTTGATGCCACGGGATGAATACCTTGGGGATATTGACACTAATTTCGGTCGAAACGGGAAAGAAAGGAGAGGGTTACGTAAAGGAAGAAGGAAGTCTCGATCCTACGAAAGACGAGAGGCGCAAAGGAGGCGAGAACCGCACGAAGAACAGGAAGCAAAAATAAATAATTTGAGGGGAGTATAAACAGACGAAAAATGTTGAGAGCCGGAAGACGGATAAGGGAAGTGGCGAACATGAGCCCCGCCAGACCGTATGTGCTTGCCATCAAGCGGCCAGGGAGGCAGGCGAGCGGGAGGGACCGCAGGGCAGCACAAAGAAGGGTCTGACCTGCTGGCCGGCGGAGTTTGGGCCTCGCTAACATGGCCTCGGAGCTTCGGCAGCCTACGGGGGGGGGGGGGGTTGTGTGTCTGCTGGGGAGAGGACGCTGAAATGCGAGAAGGGGAGGAGGAGGAGGAGGAGGAGGGAGAGCGCAGGAAAGAAGAGATGTGTAAAAGCAGTGCGAGGAAAGAAAGAACGAGGAGGAGGCTTGGCTGTAATTGAGGTAGAGAAGATCGCCTCTATTGTTTTTATACAAAAAGTTGGCAGCGATGAATACAATATAATGCGTGCGGTTTGCGGCGTGATGTTGTGCGGGCGGCGTGCGGTGGCGGAGACACCCGATGCCTGGTATCGCGTCTTTGAACCCGTGAGGGATCGTCCCTTCGCCCTCGGAGGCGGCGGGGGCGAGGCGCTGGCCGAGCGGGGATAGCCGCTCGAGAGGGGCATTTAGGCTCTGTTTTCCGAGGGCGAGGCCAGTCGGGTCACGCCCTTCGCACGGGTTGAGTGCCAGCTGTGGGGGGAGAGGGGGGGCTTATCTGCGTTTCTGCCTGTTGATGTTCTGAGTTTAGCGAACACCTTTTCTTCGCTGTGTCTTCACCTTCATTCGTGGCATTTCCTTGATTCCCCTTTTGCACTGACGTCGTCTTGCTGGCAGGGACGCTGGGCAGGAACGGCGTCCTTGTCGCGTGGCCAGGAGCAGCTTGAACGTGTGGATTTATTTTTTGTGGTATGAACAATGAGGATGTGGATCAGGATGTGGGACGGCTGTTGCAGTGGGCGTGGGTTTTACGCAAGGATCTTATCTTGAGCTCACAGGAAAGTCTTCGTAATTATATAGGATCTCTCTCCTTTGTACAGATGAACAATATTTTTATAGTGTTTTGTAAGAATTTGTTTTAATCGTCACGCGAAGTACCTGAAAAGAGATTGTTAAGTTTTGTAAAGTATGAACATAGATATAGTGTGAAGTGCTGTTGTGATGTTCCCCGAGCAAGAGGAGAGCGAGCGCTGAGCCCGGCGCCATGCTGAGCGTGCAGGCCATGATCCACCGCCAGGAGGCCGCCACGCCCCTGCGCAAGCCGGACAAGGCCTCCAGCCGCCCCGACTCCAGCGGCAGCGGCAAGGGCAGGAACAAGCGCAAGGCCGCCAAGAAGAAGCGCGACGCGGCGGCGGGCGGCGACGACGCCATCGGAGACATCTTCGGCGAGGTGCGGGCGCCGCCGGCCAAGGGCGAGGCGGAGGGCCGCGCCGTGGTGGCGCGCGAGTGGCTGCTGCTGCGGAACACGGAGGCGGAGCCGCAGGGGAGGCTCCCCGCCACGCCCGCGGGGGACGCCGACGCTGGTCGTCGCAGGGCGGACCCCGGCCACAGCCACGTCCCCATCAGGAAGAAGGAGTCTCGGGCGGGCAGGAGCAAGAAGGACGCCAACGGGAACGTAAGGATATTCAAGGATTCCAAAAGCTGCGCTGAAGACGCGACGGCCACGGCGCCCGCGGACACGCCCTCGAGAGGTAGCGTGGGCGCGGGAGAAGGCCGCGAAGACGCGAGCAGGACGGCGCAGGGGAGAGAGGCTTCGTCCCCGGCCGAGGGCGCAGGGCGGCTCCACCCGCAGCCGGACGCCGCAGACAGCGCGCCCACGAAGGAGGTGGTCATCATAGACAAGCGCCAGCCGCAGGAGGGCGCGAGGAAGAGCCGCCACGGGGCGGGAGACGCGCCCCCCGACAAGAAGGAGCGGCGGGCCGGCGTCGGCAAGAGCTCGAGCGTGAAGCGCCACAGCTCCGGCCGGAGCACGGGCTCGGAGGGCAGCACGCTGAGGAGGCTGCGGGGGCGGACCACGCAGCGCAGCAGCGCCGCCACGCAGACGCCGCCGGGGTCGCACACGGACCTCCACAAGTGCGCGCCGCCCCCGGACAACCGCCGGGGATCCTACAGGAGCCACGACGGCTCGGGGGCGCACGGCGCGGAGCACAGGCCGCACGAGGAGCCGCCGCGGCGAGACATCTCCGTGGGCATCCCCGGGGCGTCGCTGCTGCTCAAGCTGGTCATGCCGCGGGACAAGCGCTTGAGCAGGCACTCCGGGGGCTCGCCCTCGAGGGACGTGCCGCCCACCTCCCCGGCCGTGGCTCGGACGCCCGCGTCGCCCCCCCTGCCGTGGTTCTGGCCGCCCCTCCGCCACGTGGAGGCCGCCAACCCCGTGCTCCCGGTGCCTCCGCTGACGCAGTCGAGCCGGCGCGGCGGCGTGGCCGTCGGAGGCGGCGAGGCGGAGCGGGCGGCGGCTGGTCGCCCGTCATGGAGCGCGTCGTGCCCTTCCCTCCGAGGGCGGCGCCGCCCGTGCCGCGGCCGGTCCAGGGCGACCAGCTGAGCGTGTCCAGCATGAACAGCAGCCTCGCCGGCCACACGTACGAGCAGGTCAACTTCGTCATCGAGCCGCCCATCTCGGAGGGAAGGGAAAACGAGTACGAGCTCGATAACGTGGGCGCGCGAGGAGAGGCGTTTCCTTCTAGCATACACGAAAAAAGTTCCTTTCGGGAGAGCACGCCCGAATTCCTGCGTCCGGTGGCGCCCCCGTGGCAGGACCCGGCCCTAGGCCCAAGAAGGCGTCCCAGCGACGGCCAGTGCTGGCCGGATCCGCTGGAGAAAACAGCCAGACAACCCGCTGTTACCCCAGGTCAGGACTCGGCCCAGGCGTCGGGGAGGCGACGGCCCTCGAGCAAAAGGAAGCGGAAAAAGTCGCGGTCTGCGGCGACCACGACGGACGATTCTTTAGTCAGCAACAGTGGCTTTCAGCAGGATCTCCATCTGATGAAGGAGGGCAGCGTGGAGCGCCTGGGGAGGCGCGGGTCCTGGGAGGAGGTCAGGAGGGTTCCACCGGTGTTGTCATATACCCGCAGAAGCAGTTCCTCCACCATACCCGAAGAGACCCGCCCGCCCGTCACGAGTGCGAGCGACAGAAGCAGTGGTTTACGAGGCACGCACACTCTCACCATAAACAAGCCTCTGATGGTGGTGGTCAGTGAGGACAATTTGCAGATGACGAGCTCGGTCTCGGTGAGCTTACCCATCTACCATAACGCCTCCTCCTGTGATGATGACTCGGGCCCCTGCGAGGCACCCAGAGAACCAGCAGAACCAACAGCAACAAAAGACGTAAAAATTATACACCGGCTGCTGGATATTGTCAACCAGGAGCAAGCGAAGGTCACCCACTCGCCGGCGGGCCAGCGGCACAACGTTCGCCGCCGTGGCCTCTACGTCCCCCTCGATCCCGAGACGGACACGGAAGTCCGATCGGAATCGGAAACCTTCGTGAGCAGCCAGGAAGCCTCGGAGCTTCGCTTGTCGGACCAGGGCTCTTTGAGC